TTTCTTATATTTTACGCACCATTTTTTAGTAGAGACTAATTTCATTTCTCTGAACAACTCAATTGTTGCCTGAAAATCACACAATTTCTTGGCAAGAAAATAAATTTAAACGATTCGACATGTCACTGTTAGACAATTAAGAAACACGTTTATACGCAGCACTCTTCTCGGCCAAGCAAAATAGCTTGAAAGGATAGTCAAGGACATGACTCTAACAATATACATCATCGATAAACATCATTGCAACATTGCGTGCGCTCATACATAGAGTGATCCGAGACAACTTCCTGTCTTCCTAATCATATTCTTCAACAAATTTTAAGACCAAATATTATTCAATATTATTAATTATGTATTTTAGAGTACACAACAGAGTATAAAACAGTATACGTGTATGCGTGGGGGAAAGGCGGAACCCCTACACTTCTTTTCAAAACCAATCAATTTGTTTAAAAAAATTGTTTAATTTTTTAATCGTACAAAATCCTTCTAGTATACTTCTTTTCTATCTAAAAGCGACCTAATTATATCAAAATTTGACATGAATCGGAGCATGATTTCGGAAGTTTAGCCATTGAGGCTATATGTATGTATTAGTGGTAAATCTTCGGAGTTTGGCCGATATTGATAATATATTATGACTTTGATGAATATAGTTCATGTTATATGCTGCGATTTATCTATAACATTGTCCACTTTAAAAAATATAAACGACGATACATTTTCTCTCTATGTAACCTCGCTGATTAATTATTTGCCCGATAATAATAGATTATATTTGTAACGAATTTGTATTATATACAAATATTATTATATATAATATTTGTCACGAAACGCTAAAGAAGAGCAAAATTCTCACAATTCTGCATGCAACGATGGCACTTAATAAACAGTCGTGGTGTCGACCATGCAGGTATCAATTATAATGTCTCTACCGAAACGGTCGTACAAGTCGTACGATATTCCGGTCATTCTTAGCGCGACTATCTGATTCTTATTTCGTGATTATTTCGTGATGTGGGATGTAAAGTTCATTTTCGTGAAATAAATTTGATTTATTTGAAGTAAAATTTATTCCTGTGATTGTGTGAACTTTATATTCCACAAATAAGTTTTCAAGTATTTTTTCTCAATAAATGAACAATTTCGGTCCGTCTCGATCAAGATTGCTGAGTTCTAACTATTCCTGAAAAAAAGACGACGTAACTTCGTACGCGGAGCCCGTAAACGAAACAATTTCGTCTTTTCACGAATAATTTGCTTTGACACACTTCTTATTGGTGGACGATTCTCAATGATATCTGGTACACACAATTTATCTCTATTTCCCGTTCATTTTATGTGACACGAAAAGCCGGGATTTGGTTTCCCAATTTCGGTCTTGAACTTAGTATTTTCGGCAGCGTTAGTTTTGATTCTGTGTGTGTAACTCTCGAGATCTAAACTCGAGATCGGGCCAAGATCGAAAGGGAATTTGCACATCTCTCATTTAACGTGTACCTTATTCTCTTGAACCTTCTCCACTGTTCTCTTTCATAAAAGCAGCTCGAAACGAATGACTATGCCTATCATGAGTTAAATATCAAATGGAACAGTTTTTGAACGGATATTCTGTGGGAAAATATGAAAGGAATAAAATAAAGTAATGACCGTCGTATTTTAACGGAGTCTTTAACTGTTGAAAATACACACTTCCAATATTCACCTGACAGACGTGAGAGACGATGCGTGTTATCGTGTTGATGAAATAATTATTTGCAAAACCTGAACGTATCATTAGATTGTAGATCGATCTTTTCATATTCATTAAGGCTCCTGGGGAGTCGTATCATCCATCTCTTTTTAATGACGTTAGAAGCGAGAAAACGCATGCTAAAAATTCCTGCAAAATACGTCGAGATAAACAGATATATCCACAAAACGACATTTGCGATCGATTAAGTACACCTCTAAAATAAGATGATACGACTTCCCAGGAGCCTTAACAAGAAGCACCGGTAATCTCCACAAATAAACGAAGGGAATAAAACCAGGAACATACACGCGATCTGCTTGATAGTCTGTTATTAATAAGTGTATAATCACACAGTAGATTGCAAACAACATTATAATAACGTAGATCACAGTGAAGCAACGAAGACGGAAATGCTCAAACGTATAAAGGCAATCGCACACTCGGCGCGGATTCTTATTCCGCTGCTTTCCCGTGGCAATCGTTCCACAAGTTGCTCCGCGTTTTCATCCTTGATCCTTACGTGAGCCTCGCGGAGATTTCTTCTCGCGACGGCGAAACCGTTCGAGTCGACCAGCTAGTCAGAGGCAGGCGTCAACTACTTGTCCCCTCGATTTCCTGACACTCGGTACTTGTCCAATATATATATTCAAATTGACCTAGAAGTATATGCAACTAGTGATCTTTCCATAGAAGAATGGCGCTCGTGACGAGTTACTGGGTCCTGGACGGTATGATACTGCTGACGGCTGTCATAGTGGCTGCTTATCTCTACATGACCCGCAACTTCAAGTACTGGAAGAAACGCGGTGTTCTGGAAATAACACCGGTGCCGTTCGTAGGCAACTTCACGGAATGCATGCTCATGCAGAAGAATCCGGGATACTTCATGAAGGATCTCTACGAATACGGCAAAGGGACGCCTTACATAGGCTTTTACGTTTTCGACACGCCGTGCCTGCTGGTGCGCGATCGTGAGCTCGTCAAGAACGTCTTGGTGAAGGATTTCAATTATTTCTACGACCGACACGGCACGCCGGACACGAACGATCGGCTGGGCTACGCTAATCTCTTCTTCATCAGAAATCCTGCTTGGAAAGTTCTCAGGACGAAATTAACGCCAGTTTTCACGTCCGGCAAGCTGAAAAAAATGTTCGAACTGATGCTGGAGTGTGCTGATAATTTAGACATATATATCAACTCGTTGGGATTGGAGGGTAGGTGCTGAATTATTTTTGAAGTATCAATAAGATACGTTTTAATTTAATGATCTAGGAAAGAGAGAGAAAGAGAGAGAGAAACAGTTTGCAAGGAAGAAGTAAATTTCACTGAATCGTGGCAGCATAATGCCGATTCAAAATCTGTTGAAGTGTATAAAAGAAAGTATGCTCGATTTTTGCGATTGAAATGCACAATTTGGTCAACGCGAGAAATTATAAACGTCCAAAGTTTATTCATTTCGAGGAATATGAAGGAAAATACAACTACAGCTCAACAGGTCGTATCGTAACGTTTATGCCGATAGATAATTCAAAAACGTTGGATGTGAAGGAACTAATCGCCAAGTTCACCACGGACGTGATTGGAAGCACCGCTTATGGGCTCAACGTGAATTCCTTGAACAACCCGGATGCCGAGTTCCGAAAACACGGCAAGAAGATCTTCCAATACGACTTTGTGCGCAGCTTTGAGATACTCGCGGTGTTTTTCCTACCGACCATAGTTCGTTTGGCCGGCATACACATGTTCGGTAAGGAAAGTTCCAATTTTCTGCGCAAGGCTTTCTGGGAGACGATGCTGCAACGCATGCAGTCCGGCCAGAAGAGAAACGATCTGATCGATGCTCTCATTGAGCTGAAGAAAACTCACAGCGACCAAAATCTGGAGGGATTCAGTAAGCGAAATGACAATATATACGCATTAATTCACGACTTCTCTCAATCTCGCAAAAATTCCAAAATTACGTCACATAAAAATGAGGAAAGAATAACAGCTTGACGATCAAAGACGATAAAATTAGGAGAACCAACAGGTTTGAGTAAATTTGCGCGACTGATCATTCCGATTAAATTCCAACGGGAATATATTGTGTTTTTCTTTTTATATAAATTCTTTTCAATTTTACTATGTTTCTAGTAGTACAGAACTAGACTGTCAGTAAAGTCTATCTCAGGTAGAACACAAAGTCATATAAAAGTAAAAATGACGTCAAATGATATAAAAGTAATGTCATTTTAATATCAAACGATACTATTTTCATGACAATTTTATGACAATGATGTCAAAATGATATCAAAATGATATCATCTCGACATCAAAATGATTTTCTATTCTACCCGGGATCTTGCCAAAGAATTTACATTTCTTTTAAACAGTAAATTTCGTTAATAACATCAAATTTTTTTAATAGCAAATTTTTTTAATAATATTTGATGTTATTTATATTTCAGTTCCTAAAATATAAATAACATATCAAAAATAACACATCAAATATTTCACTAATAAATAATAAATAAATAAATTCTACAATAAGTTATCACAAAATGTTGATTAATCTCTCGGTTACACAGTTCTACAGTAATTTTTACTGTGAAATTCTCTTCGCGTATACGGAATAAAATTCTAGAATTCGATGGAGATGACTTAGTGGCGCAAGCAGCAGTCTTCTTCGCAGCCGGTTTCGAGACCTCCTCTACGGTAACAGCTTTTACATTGTACGAGCTCGCCATACACCCTGAAATTCAAACCAGACTACGGAAGGAAATCGTCAACGCGCTCAAAGAATCCAATGGAGACATCTCGTATGATATGGTATATAAATATCATCCTCTTTGCATAATTTCTATAGCAACAGTTACGAAAATAAATTGCTATGTATTAACGACGAATCGATTTTCTCCCTGAACTGTCCTCAAGGATTACTCTTCCTCCAATTACCCTCAAAGAACAAACCTCGAAATTTTAGCACGATTAATGCAAACAATCTCTGTCTATTATCAGACTATGTCGTTACCGTATCTTGACATGGTGGTCTCGGAAACGTTGAGGAAGTATCCGACGCTGCCGTTCTTGGACCGCAGGACAATGGACACTTACAAAGTGCCAAACTCCGATCTCGTCATCGAGAAGGGCACGCCGATCTACATCTCGATGCTCGGCATGCACTATGATCCGGAATACTTCCCTGATCCCGAGAAGTACGATCCGGAACGATTCAACGAGAAGAACAAGCGCAACATACCGGGGGGCGTCTACTTCCCGTTCGGTGAAGGTCCGCGCTCATGTATAGGTGAGAAGATCGCTTCTAATTTCGTTATTAAGGGCGAGGGTGATCTCGATATACGGAATTAGAATGTATTGTTCAATTATAGTCTTCGTTAGTCGTCTCGTCGTCTTCGACAGTAGAGACGCGTGTGAGTTATTTAATTCTTGAATTGTTTCATTACTTTATTTTTTATAACACGTTATGCGTCCTGCAGGCACTCGCTTCGGGCTTCTGACGACAAAACTGGCGCTCATCAAGATTTTCAGCAAGTGCGAGGTGATACCGAGCGAGAAAACCATGATACCGATGATACTCGACCCGAAAGCCGCCTTCGCGTCGCCGTTGGGCGGCAAGATACAACTCAACATTCAGAAAGTCAGTGCTAACTAAGACTCAATAGTGCAATCGTTTTTATCGTCTTAACATATAGCTCTTAAGATATCGTCTAGTGTTTTAAGCGTACGATATCCATCGTATGAATTTGTAATGACTAATTGGGAAATATATTTGATATTTGGCTGTGTAAACGGTTCCGAATTTTATTTCGATCGCGCACGAGGAAATCTTGGTTGGTGGACATGAATCCGTTCACGTTTAGCCACTTTACCTCAATCGATCACGATTTCGTGATTACCTACCTTTCAAGTACACTGAGAAAAGAAATACTTGAAAATTTATCTGTGAAATATATAGTTTATTCGCAAAAGCAAACCTTTGTATCCCGTACAAATGTTTTTTTCTCGCATATCCTACACTGAGAAAAAAATATTTGAACATTTCTTTGTAGAATGTAAAGTTTATTTCTCTGTAGGGGGGAGGATATAACGTTTACTTCTATGAAATAAAATTTGTTTCTGTGAATCAACTTTTATCTTACACAAGTAAATGGTCAAATATATTTTGTGTTATTTCTCCGTCTGAGAAAAAATACTTGAAAATTTATTTGTGGAATATGAAGTTTATTTCTGTGAAATAAACTCTTATCCCATAAACATATTTTCAGATACTCCATTCTCAGTGTACGTCCACATAAGTCTACGTACACTGAGAAAAAACACTTATTACTTATACTTACTAAATATTACGGAATTTATTTCCGCGAAGTGAGAAATTTGGATCGGTTGGTTCCGCGAAGTGAGGTTTATCTTTTTCTATAAAATAAATATTTATCTCACAAATAAATTTTCAAGCATCTTTTTCTCAGTGCACATATTCCGATTACTTCTGTGACCAATTGCCGAAGGAAATTAATCGATAGACAAGGAGGAATTTTCTCAGATATTTCTTTGTCGCCGGCAAAATGATTATTTTTTCTTTATTCGTCTCGACACTGTAAATATATATATATATGTATATAGGAGGGCAGCCATGAGCAGCCGGTCACACGCTCTGAGAAATGTGTAGAGACATATATATATATATATATATATATATATATATATATATATATATATATATATATATATATATATATATATATATATATATATA